AAATTTTTTTAGTTTTGCATGTAATATTATTTTGTTGAAGAATGTGTGGTTGAAAAAAAGAGAGAGAAAAAATGTATTTTGGAAAAAAATGGGTATCAAACGAGAGGTGAATGTTCAAATACTGCCTTTTTGTCCCTCCAATTCTGATATACCCTGCATGTCCGCTCCGGGCAAATGCAGATGTTAATTGTCTTAAAAATTTGTTTCTAAGTCCAAAAATTGTGATGCTGACATTTCCAATTATTAATAAAGATTAAAGATTTGTTTAGTTGGCTAACATCCAACTCGTGCAGTGTAAGTAAGGCCAAGAGTCTGGCAAACTTGTCAAAATCTTGTGACGATACTTTCAATAAGCTCGTGCAATCTGGCGTTTCTCCTGATGAGCTTTATGATGCTGTTTGCAAGCAGGTTTTTGTTACTATCTCTTTTATGTTTACTAATTAAACAGGTGTTTAATCAACTATTTTGTCCGGTAACATCAGTTCATGCTGCAGGAGGTTGAAATTGTCCTCACAGCACATCCGACACAAATAAACCGACGTACCTTACAATACAAACATATTAGGATTGCGGTACTTTTCAGCATTTTACTATATTCTGGAGATTTTACATATTAGCCATGAATTTTCTTTAAATTTGACTAGTAATGCCTTTATTGTTTAACAGCACCTTTTGGAATATAATGATCGTCCTGATCTTGGGCATGAAGACCGCGAGATGCTGATAGAAGATCTGGTAAGCACTTCGTAAAACAGTGGAAAAAAGAACAAGAAATTTTTTCGCAGATATTCCATGCCCTTTGAGTTGATTCTTTCTGATGTTGTAGGTGAGGGAGATAACTGCAATATGGCAAACGGATGAGCTTAGGCGCCACAAGCCTACTCCAGTTGATGAAGCTAGGGCTGGTAAACTCCTCATATTTGGATATATGTTCCAATTCACATTTCTTTCCACTGCTAAAACAGTGTTTTTTCAGGCTTAAATATCGTGGAGCAATCACTTTGGCGAGCTGTACCGCATTATTTACGCCGTGTCAGCAATGCTCTAAAGAAGGTTGCTTTCTTTTATTCTACATATATTTTCAAATGATGGTTCATAATTTTTCTTTCAATGATTTGTCCTCCACTTTCCTCAGTATACTGGAAGACCACTTCCCTTGACCTGCACACCTATAAAATTTGGGTCTTGGATGGGGGGCGATCGAGATGGAAATCCAAATGTGACAGCAAAGGTGATACTTTAGGTGCTGTTATTGTTTAAATTTTTTTTCCTTTTCTTTTAGCCAGACACTGGATGGGTATAGTTTGTTGAAGCATACAAATCTATGCAAATCTCACTGGGGTTGGTTTTGCAGCGTTCTATTTCAAAGAACCCTGAATTCATCTCACAACATACAAGAACTATTCTGTCATCATGTTTTACTTTTTGTGGTTTCAGGTCACAAGAGATGTATCTCTTTTGTCCAGGTGGATGTGTATTGACCTGTACATACGTGAAATTGATAACCTCAGATTTGAACTTTCCATGAATCAATGCAATGATCATTTATCTAGACTGGCACATGAGATTCTGGAAAAAGGTCTCTCTTATCAATTTTCTTTTGTACACTACTGATTTTCTTTTTGAAGGCTGTTCTTCATGAGAAGTCTTAGCTAGTTGCTGCTAATGTTTGATTTTGTCTTGGGAGGTTGGATGAACTTGTGATTTATATGAAAATTATGTGCTGGGAGAGAATTGTTTCTTTTATTATTTGAGATTGAAGTCTTTATCATAGAATTACTAAATAGGATTGAATGATCCTAACATGTGAAGGAAAAAAACTAAAAATTAGCAGTGCATGAACTGTAGAAAAAGGTTATAAATGTAGAAAAATAGCATTTTCGCTTGAATATGTAAATGAGAACTCAAATGCCTTAGTTACAATTTTATTTTTGTATTCAATTCACTTTTGGCTGACTTAAGATTTAAATTTAGCTGTGGTCTTCAACCATGAAATATTTTCTCAATTACATAACTCTTAGATCATGCTTGATTTTCCCTCAACATCTACATTCCTTTGTCGGAAAATTTCTTTTCACGTTTTAGTGCTGATGCATACTGCATGCATTGTAATTTCTATATGAACTGTCGCAATTAATTTCGCATATTCATTTACGTTCACTTTGGTGGCGTAATAAACTAGAGATTAATGAGATGAAGCTGAAGATGACTATATACTTTATAGGAAGCTTCTCTCTCTTAATGTTTTCGATTCTGTTCTTTTACTATCTCTTATGAATGCATTGCACTCTAACTAAAGCAATGGTAAGGTAGTTCCAACTTTTCACGGTTCAAATATTTTTTAGAAATGTCATCAGAGAATCAACACTCAACTTGGAATCAATTGAAGCACCATTCCCATCATGCTCCACCCTTTCCATCACAGCTACCGGCTGGAGCTGATTTGCCCTCTTGCACAGGTCATACTCCTGCTCTAGGTTAAAGTACTGTTCTTGGCTTCCTTGTGTCTGTTCACAAATGTATTTGTTAAAGGCTTGTTCCTTACTAATTAACGTTCTCTAAATAATGTTAATATTTTGATGAATTCATGTCTTTCTTCCATCTACATTATAAAATGTCATGCTTAACTGCAACTTAACTTATCATAATGATCCTTTAGACAGGCATTAATACTTATGCCGTTCTTTGATTTCCTTTTCTTATATTTACCTTTGTGTTGTGCATGATCTCTTTATGGTTCCATTGATCTTGGTAAATAGTTATACAGTCGCTGCTTCACTTTTTCATCTTAAAAACATATGCAGTGGTTTTGCTTACGTTTCTTCACCCATTGAGTGAGTGTCCTTCAATAAAATTTTTCCATATCTCATTGCTTTTAAGAATTCTTTTCTTTTGAGTGTTCCTAGACCCTTGCTATAAATGATACTCTTCCAAGAAAATTGAGATGTTTTCCTGTTTTATGAAATGCTAATTCCTTTCCTAATAATTATTCTCTACTGCATTTGATTTTTATTATCAAATTCTTTGGCGTATTGGTTGGTTATAGCATTATTCAAGGATGAACTTTCTCGGCAAATTCGAATTGAGGTCCCTAGGTGTAGTTCTTGTTGATATAACTACATTTGATACTGCAAAGGGAATGATATGTAAGTTAGAGATTTTGAGGATCACATTTGAATGTAGGTATTTTAGGTTAAGTAGAACTAAGACAAAATATATTGAATGTCTTTTGGTTGTAGTAAGAATAAGGATGCTACTAGAATCATAAAAGAGGATCATGTTGTATTGAGGTTTAATCATTAACAAGGAAGGTTCCAAGAGAATATAATGCATAAGATAATGGCTTGCAAACTGTTGCGGAAGCAAGCTCCAAGGTTCTTCAAATTGGTGTTTTTGGGGCTCAATTCAACGTACCTTTCTCTACCAAACAACCAAACCTACCGGCTCACATCCACAACCAATATATTCACCCTGGTTGTTATTCAATCTTGCCTACAAAGGATAATAAATGGTGATGATTTGTAACCA